TGCACAAGGCATTCCCTGCCCCTCCAAGGCAAAACACAAGTGTTTGGTGCAAAACCAGACACAACACGGTCGAGTCGAGAGATCCTGAGGCAAGGCGCGCAACCGAGACCTCCGGGAACTCAAGACGAACACAAACAAGGGTAATCACCAAGTGTTCCAATGGTGACGTCCAAGTCTTGAGGATAATAAAAAATGGGGTGTCTACAGGTATGAAGAAAGATGTGGCAGTTTTTGTATCTAAGTGCCTTACTTGTCAGCAAGTGAAGGCCGAGCATCAGAGGCCAACGGGTTTGTTGCAACCCTTGCCTATAGCCGAGTGGAAGTGGGAGCATGTCACTATGAACCTCGTTGTAGGTCTTCCGAGGATTCAACAAGGTAGTGATGCTGTTTGGGTGGTTGTAGACCGGTTGACTAAGTCGGCGCATTTTATCCCTATGCGCGTTAGAGATTCGGTAGACCATCTTGCCGACTTGTATGTTCGGGACATAGTGAGGTTTCACGGGGTCCCAGTGTCGATCGTCTCAGATAGAGATCTACGTTTTACTGCTAGGTTGTGGCAGAGTTTACAGAGTGCCTTGGGTACTAGGTTGACCTTTAGCACGGCTTATCATCCTCAGATTGACGGGCAGTCCGAGCGTACTATACAGATCCTTGAGGATATGCTTCGAGGTTGTGTCCTTGACTTTAGTGGGTCGTGGGAGAGACATTTACCCTTGGTGGAGTTTGCTTACAACAACAGTTTCCAATCGAGTATTGGTATGGCACCGTTTGAGGCCTTGTATGGCCGACCATGTAGGTCTCCAATTTGTTGGGCCGAGGTGGGTGATGCACCTTTGTTGGGCCCAAAGTTAGTTCGGGAGATGACGGAGAAAGTTGAGCTTATCCGTAAGAGACTTCTTACAGCCCAGAGTCGTCAAAAGTGTTATGTCGACCGTAGGAGGAGGCCTTTGGTATTTGGGGTGGGTGATCATACTTTCTTGAAAATATCACCTAGGCGGGGATTGATGAGGTTTGGTAAGAGTGGGAAGTTGTCCCCTCGATTTATTGGCCCTTTCGAGATCCTTGAGAGGATTGGCGAGGTTGCCTACCGTTTAACTATGCCGCTGTAGTTGTCCGGAGTGCATGACGTGTTTCATGTTAGTATGCTTCGGAAATACGAGCCGGATCCATCGTATGTATTGGATTGGACCAACTTAGTGGTAAATGAGAATGCCTCGTATGAGGAGAGACCGGTTTGGGTCTTGGATAGGCGGGATCAAGTCTTGCGAGGCAAGACGATACCCTTGGTGAAAGGTTTGTGGAAACATCACGGGGTTGAGGAAGCCACTTGGGAACGTGAGTTGGAGGTCCGAGAGAAATATCCGGATCTATTTGTGGATGTATGATCGTATGTTGAATATTTTGTTGTATTGATAAACTTTAAGAGCATTGAATATGTCTTAAGTTGTAAAACATTGTATATGTTTCGGTTTATGGGAGTATTGTGGTAAATGCCTTGAAAATGAAAGTTAATGTAGCATTGTATATGTTGAATGTACTGTAGCAATGCAAATATATCTTTAACATTGAATATGTTATGAAATGGTATGATATTGGAAATTTCTGAATTTCAAAGAAAGACATGTTGTTAATGCATATTGAATTATATTGTGAATTGCCTCTTGAATAGAGATGGGATGACCGGTAATGGGTCAAGATGTTGGTTATTGAATTATAATATTGTTGGGAATTGAGAAATCATGTTTTTGAAACTTATATCTAACTTCGGGGACGAAATTCTTTAAGGGGGGGGGGAGGTTATAACGATCCCGGGTTTTCTCCTTTATGTACAGTATTCTGTACTTAGGTTTCGCGGTTGTGTAGTGTTGCATTTGTTTCATTTCCGTGCTTTAATTCCTTATATTTGAATTTTAGGATGTGTTAGGCAGGTTTATATCAGGTTGGGAGTATTTTGAAACAATTGATTGCTGCCTAGATTTTGGTATCTTCGCTCGAGCAAGACTTTTGTTGCTCGAGCGAGCTCTGTGTTTTAGATCCTTCGCTCGAGCCAGGGTTCCTTCGCTCGAGCGAGAAGTCTTGCGCTCGAGCTTGCGTCTGCGTCTGGTTTTGGACCTGAAGGTTGCAATTCTTCGCTCGAGCGAGCTTTCCTTCGCTCGAGCGAGCGAGGTCTATGTTTTGGATTTCTTCACTCGAGCAAGCTTTTCTTCGCTCGAGCATGCTTCTGGGTTGCAAACCTGAAGCTTCGATTTGTTGGCCCGAGCGAGGCTTTCTAAGCTCGAGCGAGGTTTCTTTGTGTCTGGTCGCTCGAGCGACCACTCCTTCGCTCGAGCGAGCCTCAAATATATCAGTTGGCAGCAGCGGGTTACACTTCACTTTTTCGTCATCTTCTTTTATACAAACCCTAGACCAGCTGCTCTTTCTCTCTATATATACCTTCTCTCTAAGGTTTTATCTAGTTCTAGTGGTCTTCTACCCTAGTCCCTTTGGAAAAAAGGTAGAGCTTCACGAGGGCTTCGCTTTAATCTGAAAAGTTGTGGATTTGGAGCACTTTGAGTTTCGCCTCTCTTCTCCTTTGAGCTCCGAAAATTAAGGTAGGGATAACCTACTCTATTCTATGAGTTTTAACATAAATTTTGGTCATTTTGATTAGATAGTGTTTCTTAGTCATTTTGAGAAAATCAGGGTTTGATTTGAGGTTATAAAAAGGGGGGTTTTCAAATGTTAAAACCTATGTGTGTATGAGACATTGAAAAATGAAATTGTTGTTGTTAAATCGATGAAATTGAGCCTTTGGGCTAATATTGAGAAAATGGGAAAAATGTCCTAATTATGTTGAATAATTAATTTGAATAATTAATCTGGGAAAATGTGAAATTGAAGTGAAATTCATGAAATTGGAAAATTGTGGGAGTAAATGGTGTAGTTGGATAATTTAATCACTCACCTATGAAAATGTCGATATTTTATCTGTTGATAAATTTATAATCTATTTAGAGATAACTGCTTTGGGCTATCGGTGGAGGATAGTCTTGATTGTTGTAGATATTGTATGATGATTAGGGAAAACTGAAACCAATCACATTGAATATGTCATTGAATATGACGGTTGGAATAATACAACAAATGTGGTTGTCAGGCATGCCAAAAGCATGGCAGAATAAGACATGTGTCAATAATTGATTTGCATATAGTTGTGAAGCCTTGGCCATTTAGAGGTTGGGCTATGGATATGATAGGGAAAATACATTGTTTCATCCTAGTGGCCACGGATTACTTCACTAAGTGAGTCGAAGCTAAACCATGTAATGCTGTGGATCAAACTGAAGTTATTGGATTTATTAAAGATCTGATTCACAGATTTGTCATCCCACAGACCATAACTATAGATAAGGGGATTGTGTTTGATAAAAAGATGGTAAAATCTTTCACAGCAAAATTTGGAATTTGTCTTATTAATTCCACCTCTTATTATGCACAAGCAAATGGTCAGGCAGAATCATCCAACAAGTCCTTGAAAAAAGGAATACAAAGAGTTGTGGAAGACAATCCTAGGGATTGGCATAACTTGTTGTTAGATGTATTATGGGCTTATAGGACTTCTCCAAGGTCAAGTACAGGAGTCACTCCTTACGCCTTAGTGTATGGGCATGATGCAGTTTTGCCTGTGGAAGTTAACATTAGATCCTTAAGGATAAAAGGCCAAGACCACTTAACTTCTGAGCAATATCATCAAAGCATGTTCTTAGAAATAGAACATGTGGATGAGGCTAGAATCTTGGCATTAAACAATATTCTTTTCCAAAAGAAAAAGGCAGCCAGAAGTTATAACAAGAAAGTCAAGCATATTAGCTTTGATGAAGTTGACTTGGTATGGAAGACAATACTTCCAATAGGCATTAAGAGCCATAAATTTGGCAAATGGTCACCTAATTGGGAAGGACTATATTAGGTTAGGAGCTTATAATCTAAGGAACCTGAATAGTTATGTGCATTCTAAGAAAATTAATGGCAGGTACCTCAAGCCTTATTATCCAACTGTGTGGGAGACACAAGGAGTGTAGAGAGTGCTAAATGAAATAGTGAGAGAGCATGAAACACTCAGATAGATAATAAAAGGTTTTCATTTCATAAAGAATTAAATACATGTAGCCATAAATTGGCCCAGAAATCAGTACAATGCTTCAATTGTTCCTTTACAATTGATTCTCTACTCTTAAGGGATGGGAACAACTGAATGGCTATAGCCATGTCCTGCCTACGGTCAGCTAGCCCTTGATTGGTAATTTGTAGCTTTTTAGCAACACGATCCAAGGCTAGGTTAACTGTTGCTAACTCTTCCTCTAATTGGGTCTTTTTCTCCAAGAGTTAAGTTCGAAACTGAGAAGCAGAGGAATGTTGTTACTTTAATTCAGATATCTCAGCATGTATATGAGAAACAAATTCTTTGTCCTTCAGTAGCTTCTCTTCTACAGCTTTATCAATATGGCAGATATTAACATAGAAACTATGATAGCTGCTGTCTGGGATAAGTGACTTGAAATAGCCATGTTGGATTGCTCAATAACTTTGCAGCATTGGAGGAAACCATTCTTAATGATAGGTCTTTGTAAGGCTTCGAATGGAATCCTTGAGAATAATGTCAGCAATTCCAAACAAGTGCCCAAGTCCACTGGTGGCAAAGGAACTCTGTTGATAGTAGAGGAACTCCAAAAAATTTCCAGGAAGGAGTCAGCAAGGACCAATGGTTCAGCTTTACTATTGGTTGATTGAACTGAGGAAGGCATGTCAAATAGGCTAGCTAGCCGGTTTTCAAAAATATCCATCTCCTCTTTTGACATTGAAAGTACAGAGAAATCACTAGTGGAAGGAAGAGATGGCTGTATGGGGATTGGAGAAGGAGTGTGAGATTCCCAAGCAGTGTCTATAGTCCTGGCCACCAGCCGGTGAAGGGAAGAGGGATTGTAGCTGGATGGTGGACAAGAAATTGGTGAGCTACTAGTATTTTCTCTGGGAGTACCAGCTATCACTGAGGATGAGGTGACAACTGGGGCCCTCTCAGGTGATGAAGGATTAGCCAGGACTATAGGGACAGTAAACTGGGCTGAGGCAAAAGTTAGATGAGGTAGATATGGAGTTAAGCTCGGTCATAAAGAAAGAGAGATGTTTGGCCTCAAAGAAGGTATTGAAAGTGTAGGGCTAAGAAGTGGAAGTACTTTCTGGATGGGCTCTACACTTAAAGGCACTTTGGTGTTGTTCTTCTTTCTCCTTTTTGAGGCTGCCTCTAATGGTCTTTCATCTTCAAGCAAAACAGAAGAAGACAGTGTCGAAGGACAGGGATGTGGAATAACAGTTGCTGCGAATTAAAAAATAAGAAGCAATGGTGAGTTTCTATGCTGAAATCTTGGTAAATGAAATTACCACAGGGATTAAGAGAAATTACCAGCCTTAGAAGTTGTGGTGATGGTTGGAGAACTACGAAGAGTATAGTGCTCGACAGTCTGTTGCCTCCTTGTAGTTTTCCTTTAGAGTGCATCAGTAGCAACAGTTTCATCCCTCTGTATCTGCTGTTGTCTCCTCTTCTTAGACCTCTGGAAGACAATTATTTCATTAGATTGTTCTCTCTCCACTGCCTTAGTAGCCACCTTGTGAGTAGGGTCCTCAGTAAAATCAGAAGGGGAGATTGCCACATTTTTCTTTTTTCTTTTTAATGGCATTTCTTTCTCCTCCTCTGCCTTCTCCTTGTCCGTATGAGCTGCAGATACTTTTTCTTCTTTAGGGTCAAGCATGAGTTTTCTCTTCTTTTGTTATTGTTGCTTGCTCCTAAGAATGGTTAAGGCTTGAGCTCTTTGAGGAGAGTCTGCTTGAGAAGTTCTTGCATCGAATAAAAGCCATAAGCAAATAAATAGAATATCATAAAAGGAAAGGAAAAGGTAAAGGGAAAGAAGAAATGAGTACCTTTCTTCGAAGTAGCCCTGACAACTCTAGGAAGAGTTGCTGACATAGCAAGAGTAGGAGCTGGGATAGCAGGAGAAATGGAAGCAATAGTAGAAATACCAGTCTCCTTGGGTTCTGCTTGAGAGGGCACGTCTAACCCTACTAACAAATCCTCAGGGGAAATGGCTAAGAGCACCTCCATGTTGGTTGTCCACTAATTCTGGTACGTTCTCAGTGTAGTGCCTTGTGGGATGAAGGGAGTGAATTGAAATTCGATCAAGTCTTGAATCAATTTGGAGGTTGCTTCCTCTAGCCTGGTTCTTTGCAGTTTCAACTCTCCAGTGGCAAGATTTGGATTAGTTTGGCTGAATAGAGAGATAGGGATCCCCTGGGTAAGCCCAAATTACCTAGCAAATTGAGCAGGGCAGTAGGCTTCTGCTATGCATTTGTAAGCTTAAGGGTGTAAGGTGCCAATAAAAAGCTACCTTGGGGTTAAGATAAAAGCCCATATGTCCCTGTGTTGAGGTTGGGAGTAGTTTCTATTAGCCAAGAAGGTTCTTAAATATGCTGGGCCAAAATTGGCTTCGAAAGGACAAAAAAAGGTGCGAGAAGGAGGGGAAGCTGGGAGTTGGTGAAAAAAAGTGAAGTAGTAAGCAAAGTTGGAAGGGTAAAGTGAAACTCTGGCATATTTTACTCCGTAAGTAGTAGGGTTTGGTACAAAAATCTCAAACATCAGGAGTGTAAATCAGTAAAGTAAGCAAAAAGCAAAGTTGCAATATCCATAATGGCCCTCTTTGGTTGGCATCCAAAGGTTTTTCACAAAATTGGAAGCAAGCTCTATATACATGGCCTAAAAGATAAGGGGCTAAGGCTATTCGTTCTTCAAAACAAGGGCCTTCGCAAGTGGGGCAAACTCAGGCATGATTCTCTGAGATGATGTGCAAAAGAGAAATTTACACAGCCAATATAAAATAAAGGAAAAGAGTTATCGATCACTCATGGGGCCCTCCTTTTTGTTTTCAGCCTTTACAAAGTCACTGAAAGAATAGTTCAAAGGTGGAAGGGAAAATTTAACAGAAAGGTCTAGATAGCTGGGTGTGAAAGGGGTACCGAGTGGTGAAAGCCCTAGGAGATGACAGATATCAAGAATGGTGGGGGCCATCATACCACGCCAAAATTGAAAAAAGTTACAAACCATGTTCCAAAAGCAAAGAGCGGCAGGAATCAAAAAAGGGTCTTCAGGAATGATAAACCTGGAAAGAAGAAGGGCATCGAGAATGCAAAACTCTTGCAGGTCTCATTCTCTTGCAGGCACAACTCTGTCATACCATTCTTCCCACTCAGCCCTCAATGTTGGCCAGCAACGATGAGGGCGGTTTATTCTCCAATTTCTCCAGTTAAGCCCTCCTTCATAGAGAAGAAAATGGTCCTCCAAGCGAGGGTACAAAGCAGGGAGTTGAGCGGGAGCCTCTCGAAAGATAGGACCTAGGACATATTCTTGTTGTGTAATTAAATATATTGCAAAACTTTTCATGGGATCTGAAGCCTATATAATAGGTTATAAATTTATTGAGCTTTATAATTTTTTGTTTTGTTTTTTTGTTTTTGATTTTATTAATTTGCTTTGCAAGTTCTGATTCATATTTCTGAGTGCATGAGTCACTTTGGTTGGATGAAATCATTTATTTGCATCACTTTTCCATGCTTTTGAGGTTGTGGGAGGATTTCTCACCGTTGACTGCGACATGGTGCCCGCCGCCGTTGTCCTTCGCTGCCCCAACGCCTCCTCTTCCTAGACCTCCGTCTACAGCTTCTCGTCTAGGATTGGAACCAAACTTTTCTCAGACGGTGTGGCCGTCGGAGTAGCTTTTGATTTAACTTTCTCGGTTTCTTCTTCTCCTATTATTGTATGTGTATATATACGTATATATTTGTGCTAAAATGTGTAATATTTAGAAAAAAAACTCTGAGGCAAAAAGAGAGGAGAGAGAGAGAGAGAGAGAGCGCCAAATCAAATTTGAGATGGCACTATTAGGTTCTTTTTTATTTAACATCTAGATTTCATATATTTGGAAATTGGTTTTACCTATTGTTCATGCATTTAAACCAAAACAATGGAGGGCATTATAGGCATTTCAGTATTTATTTTTGATGACATCACCAACTTCCGTTAGTTGTATGAACGACAGTTAAAAAATGGGGGAATCTTGATATTGTCAATTAAAGTAGGGGAGGTTTCTATAATTATTGAAACCACAGGGGAGACCCCTGTATTTGTCAGAAACATCAGGGGAGGTAAATGTAATTTACCCAATTTTTAAATACAATTATTTTGAGTTTTTAAATTTTAAATTTTTGTTATTTTTAATGATTTTTTTTTCTTCATATTTAGTAATTTTAGATGCACTTAAAGGTAAAATATTTATAATGTTTAAAAAAAATTAATAAATACAAAAAAATATTAAAATATATTGATTTTTTTTTTTGTATTTAGTAAAAAAAATTAAAAAAATATCCCAAATATTTTATTTTTTAAGTGTATCTAAGTAAAGTGCAACTAAAAAGTAAAAATAAATAATTAATTAAAATATTAAAAAAATTCACTAAAAATATAAAAACATAAAAGTCAATTTTTTAAAAAGTCAACTCAATTTTTTAAACCAAACATAGCGATTACCTCTAAGATGTCTCCAATGTTAACAATGAAAGCATTTGGAAGAGGTTTAATAGGAATCCACATTCCATCTTTCTTGATCTGCAACCCTTCCATTTCATTGATCTAAAGGAGAATGGTGAGTCTGACCAGGTTCGAATGAGGGGTCAGTCCGATGACAAGCTCTGCTTGTGGGCATGATGGATAATAGTTCATCCTCATGGCACTACAAGAAATCAATTTTTAGGAACAAATTTATTCTGTCCCTAAACGTGTAATATTTGTTGGAATTTTTAATTTTTATTTTTTATCAACAAAAAAAGATTTATTGATGATAAAACAAAGTATAAGCAACAATACATTAACAAAACAAGGAAGTGCACTAAGCATCATAGCTAACTTCCACAATCCCAACTAGGTTGGCAGTGCGAAGGAAGCACAATCATATGTAAGCACTTGACTCAACCCAAGATTGGTGAGAAGTCAATCAGAAAACAGAACACCAATATAGCAAAACAAAAGGCAAGCCAAAAGGCAGGGCGAACAATAGCAACCTCTGAACCGTAGTATACATCAGCAGTATATGGCAAGTCAAGACAGCAACGTACAACAACAAACAATCTCAGAACATCGTCAAACATCAGCAGGCCTCCCAAGCCATACCACCCTCACCTGCAGTAGCAACAAATAAGCAATACACCAGCTTTAGCCAACTAATTTTGTTCGTTGCAAGGTTTGTCCCCAATGGTCCGTCTAGAAAAGTCAAAAATTGACTTTTAGAGAAAATTTTGCGTTTGCTACTATAAATAAACTTTTAGAGACAAAAATATGTGGTTGCAAAAAGTTTTGATTTTGAGACAACCAAAATTTGTCTTTAAATGCCTATTAAAAACTATGGCAAAAAAAGTAGTTTTTGAGACAAAAAAAATTGGTTTATAAAGTTTTAGTTTTTGAGACAATTAGAAGTGGTCTGAAAAAGTTTTAGTTTTCGAGATGACTAATAGAGGGCTCTAAAAGTTATAATTTTTTTTGAGACAACTAAAATTGGTCTCTAAAATTTGATAATATATATATATATATATATTTTCTTTTTGATTTTGTAACATTACTCATATATAACTTTTGCATCAATAATAAAATTGTTTCTCTGAAAAAAAATTACATTTTTTTTTTGATCAGCAAAACAAAAAGCTATATTGATTGTAACAACACACAACATAAGATTCAAATGATATTTTTCATATTTTTCCTCCTATTTCTCAGCAAGCAAACAAATACCAAAGAACCAAATACCAGAACAACTTTCATTCACATCCACTAATTTATTATTAGCAATTATTTTAATATATCATTGCAAACATCCAAAAGAAAGCAATTTGACTTTGACATTTCCAGCAAAAAATCAAATAACAAAAAGCATAACAATAATACATCAGCCAAAATAACAAAAATACCAGCTGCAACCCAGGTACCTTGCAAACCCCTGTATAGAAGTTGCACCTTTGGAGGGGCCACATTCCTCCATAACAGGTCAGAAATGTGGTTGATAGTTCATATGTGAGTTTGAGCATATTCAAAGAGTTCACTTCAGGGCCTAATAGCTCATATAAGAGTTTGACCATAACTTGTTTGATTAATATGGAATTCCTAATTCATTTTCACGAACAAAATAAGGTAAATTATAATCCATGCTCTGATTCGTTAGTACGTAATATATATGGATTCTATATCATAAACTAACCGATTTCAAAAGTATCATTTCTATTTGATAAGGCTAGTGCTATAAGTATTGTTTGTAGCATTCAACTATTCAATGAACATATTGTAAATTCAGGGCCTAATAGCTCATATGAGAGTTTGACCATAACTTGTTTGATTAATATGGAATTCCTAATGCATTTTCACAAACAAAATAAGGTAAATTATAATCCATGCTTTGATTCATTAGCACATAATATATGGATTCTATATCATAAACTAACTGATTTCAAAAGTATCATTTCTATTTTATAAGGCTAGTGCTATAAGTATTGTTTGTAGCATTCAACTATTCAATGAACATATTGTAAATTGCCGTCATATCTACCTACAGAGCAGAACAACTCAATGCATCTTCTTCTCAAGGGCTTCATTGAAATGGCATTGAAAATCTCGCAGAGAGCTCCCAAGCCTTCAAATCGACGCAAGCTTGCAAGACCTGCATAGGACTGAGAGCTTAGACCAAGCTTGCAGGACATGATAACAGTAAACACTGGAGATATAATTGCTTTCCTTTCTAATTTCTTACCCAAAATCTTGATTCAAAAGCAAAAGTTTAGTTTGTTGGGATGGCTAGCTTGGAAATGAAGACTGAAAACTGTATCTTACTTGCAACATATTGGAATTCTAAGAGGGAATGCCTAATGTAATGTGTATATTTTGTCAATCACAAGCTAAATGTGTAAATTACTTAATGTTGTTGTATAGAAACCCACAAAGGAAATCGAATATAGATCTCAAAAGATAACTTACTAAGAAGAAGAATTAGTAGAGGGTCCTCTTTGATTGATTTGCTGCATCAAGAAGTCGACTTTGGAAAATTAATCGGTATTAAAATACAATGAAAGTTAACGAAAGATTAAATTCTGAAACTAAGATTAACATCAAAACCAAAATGCTCGACAAAAATCCACACAACTGTAGGTCAAGTGGATAAATATTGGAAGTCTAGTAAAAAAAAAAGAAAAATAAATAAAAGAAGAAGAAGAAGAAGAAAAGGGACAAATTTCCAAATTCAAAGTAACAGAATCTTGAAAATATATTTAGCTAACTATTTTGCTTTGACATGACTGCGTAGTAGTATAAAACAGAAAGATGCCACCATTCCAACCAAGTACTCGGCTATAGCTCTATAATTCACGCAAATGGGCCATTCCTATTAACAAAATACAATTGGTATACGAATCAAAATAGAAGGGTAATAACCCAATGTTAGGTTCAACCAAGGAAATGAAGAGAACAAAATTGCTGCTTGAGCAATATTTAACAAAAAGCATAAACCAAAAAGGAGGCTAATGATGCTATTATATAGCAAGAGTGTTGGAAAAAAAAAATAGTTTTTTGGTAAATTTTAATGTGAAATTAAAGTAGGTTCTAACCATTGGTTAAGGTGAGATTAAATTGGTTTAGATTCTTTGTAACAAGATCTTTACACCACAGAAAGAATGGCCAATAACCATTGAGAATTGAATGAGAAATTGTCTCATAAAGATCGCCTCATGAATGATGTATTGGGAATTGTGTATAACTATTAATCCCACATTGATTGTAGAGGGAAACTTTGATGGGTATTTAAATCTCAAGATTTTGATAAGGGTATGAGCCCTTTGGGCCATCCAAATTTTTCGAAGGAAGGGAGTTATGGATGTTTCAAGGATGGGCTTGGGCCAAGATTATGGTTTAAGTTGGTTATGGAAAAATTGCCACACGCGTGTGTGCGCGCGCCGCCCACCCTCCTGGACTAGGTTGGGTCCGTGGATCTTGGAACTTGGGCTTGAGGGCTAGCTGGAAATGGTTGGGTTTGGGCTGGGCCGAATTGGTGGTCCACCAACCTAATCTTTTTGGGCCAAGTTTACTATAGATATATACCCTTGTGTGTACAGAATATATATCTCATATATATTATTGTCCCATCAGTTTTGGTCCATTACTCCAGCTGTTTTACAGGAGTAACATCCATTAGTTGCCAGCCTTCATGAGTATTGGTTGCTAGCTTTCATGAGTATTGGTTGCTAGCCTTTATGGCTGGAGGCTCCTCCTCTCTCTCCATGGCATATAAAATGAGACCCATCTCCCTTGGTGTTGGTACAGATTTTTTACTTCTAGAATATACTAGTCAGTTTGCTTGTTCATATATATTTTTTTGTGTAAGAGAGTACTGCCATTGTCGGTTTGCCAAAGCTAACAGAAAGTGCTTCTGCGTTAGCCGGTCTAAGCCATCTTATCCTGGGAGACAGAAGTCGACATTGCTCCAGCACTCACGGTGAAACGACTAATCTGTTTTAAATATTGTGGTGTCACACAGAATTTGGTTTGATTCCTCGTCTTTCAATATATTATGTGATATGTATTTCTGTATTATGCTCTAGAATGTAATATGGATTTATTTGATGTTCTATTATTGAATTTAAAAAATTATGAATTTATTTATCTTGTTTAATTTACACAATTTGAATAACAAAGAGAATATTACATTTGATTCTTTATTTCAACTAGACTGTCTTTTTAACGATTGGCAGAAAGAAATGTATGTTTGAGCTTTATCAAGTGCACATGAGCTAAATTTACCCACATTGTGTTAAGTTGATCAAGCTTTTACAATTGCACTAGCCCCTGAATAATGGCTTCTTAATACATAAATAAATAGATCCAATGAAAATAGTTCATCTAAACTGATATTGATGAGACGTAAAATTAGGAGATGCTTGCAAAAACAAAAGTTGTATCAAGCTATCAGCCCTCAAGAATCAACCATCATTCTCAATAAAAATAATTTATAAGGAATCCTAAGATTAAAAAATACATAAACTACATACAAGGCAAATAATAAGAAGCTAACAAACTGCCTTCAAGTTTAATGTTAAAACAATACCTGCCATGGCCTTTCCTAATCAAGTGGCATTGGCCAAGCTGCAAACCAAGCTCCAATAACAGCTCCATGAGCAGGTAGACAGATCATATAATCAATTGATCCTATTGGCATACCCTCTACTTTTATTTTTTATTTTTTATTTTTTTTATATACATTTTTTTAAACCCAAATCAAGGGAGACTCAAATGTTTACTCAAATTTTCAAAATTTACAACTTTTTCATTACTGGAGCTTTAACTTAAATTTATGCTTAAATTTTTTTTGTGCATTCGAGTGTTTCATATCAAAAACAACTTTTACTCAAAGATCAAAT